TCATCATTTTTTTCATTATTTAGGGAGGCAAGTGAATACAACAGTAAGTAAGATCAACTGAAGAGAGGGAGTTTACATTATCGGCAACAAATGCATCTAATGTTAATTTTTCATCTTGCCAGCTTCCACTACTTCATCATCTTCATCATCACCTTTTCATCATTTGCTAATTTATTCACACCACTTCATGATTATGAACTTGTTTCCCTCTTAAATAATCAATTCATTCGTGAAAATTTCATTCCATTTAAGGATTCATATCTTTTCATTAATTTTACGTTTAAAAAGGTATCATTGTTGTTGCAACTATTACAATTGTGTGAAAAAAGGTCTGACTTAAATCGACTCTATTAGATGAGTAAATGTATTTTATTGCATAAAGTCCGTTTCAAATGATGGAGGATTGGATCAGTATAACAGTCCAACTTATAGTCAAATAATTATTACCAAATGCGGTCAATAAATGAAACTGATATGGAAACTAAAATACCTTCACCAGAAGGTCAGCTATCAGTACACCCTTCATCATCAGCACCAATAACAAGGTCCACAGCGGCTTCTAAAAACTAGAATTACCGATCCATTGGATATAAGGTAGTGCAACAAAAATAGACACATTCATATTTAATAATTCAAATGAAATTTTAGACAGAATATCTTGACTTAAAGGTGCCATTTTTTCAGGTATCGAGCCAACAACCTAACACAAGCTAAGTATCAAATTTGAAGTAAATTGGTCGACTATAATCTCATTAAGTGAACCACCAAGAGGACGAAAATTGAAGATAAAACAGCAAGCTGGTGAAAAATCAAATGATTCAAATGATGATCTGGTCAAATGATTGTAATTAGTTTATTTTTTTAATAATTTAACTTAACTTTTTTGGTATGAAATTTAAGCTGATTATGTAGTAGATAGATCGAATATATTCGATATCACCCACACATGCTTTTCAACATGAAATTCAAAATTTTTCATGAGTCTCTGAAAAATTCAGAATAAATTACTGGATACATATGGTTTTGTAAAGAGAATGGTTTGAAAATCGAAAAATAAATCGGAGGTAATAAGATAAAGTGTAAAGATAATAATCAATCATTTCTGGCGTTTCTGCGTTTTAATAAAAGCTTTTCTTTTGATCCAACAATCTGGTTTGATATGGCGCTCAAAATCCTCAAAATCACGGAACCCAACTCTGCAAGCAGCACACATGTTCAGAATATTGTTGAATAAAATATGGCCTGCTAAATGTCTTTATCGCTATTTTCGAAATTGTTCTCGCAGGTGCAGCCATCATAATGACATTTGTCATCGTTAGCATCCAGGGTGTCAGATAAAATGGATTCAAGTCGGTGAATTGAGATGGTTTTCGCTGTTTTTATTTCGATGATTTTAATCCTGATTTTGATCCTAATTTTACGTGCAATTGTATACCATCGCTAATGGACGATTGGGATCAACTACAATCTGTAGTACCACACCTTAAAAATTTCTAACACTATGTGAAACTGGTTCACAATAAGACCAATAAACGAATAATAAACAAATGAACCAATGAAACAATGACTTCTTTCTTTTGTTAACTTTTTTTCTTAAATATCCTCATTAGGCGCGAAATGTAGTTCTATGTAACTCTACTGTTCTTTTTCAATGGCTGCATCAAACATTAATAAGGTTTTTGTCATAACTTTCAATGTACGCCAAAATTCAACATATTTTTATTGTGTAAAAAATTGTGCTCTAAAGTATGCTAATCAAGGCCACCTATTTGTTGGATTACAAGAGGTGCCCCAAAGTGTTTGGAACGCTAAAAAGAAGTTTTATGATAGTGCTGTGACAACAAGAAACCAACAGTATAAGATTGAACATTATCAAATAGGTGATTGTGCCTGTTTGTACAAAGCAACTGACCCTACAGCATCATACTTCTTTAATACTTTTCACGACATGATGCAAGCATTCGTGCTTCCCGAAGGAATTGCCCTTATAAACACCCACAGGTCCCCGAATATGAATAGAGGTGCTGCGAAAACATACTGGGCGACAATGCGATGTTTAGTTTCTCGCTTACTCCATGGCGGAAAGGATAAAGACAATCGACATTTTGATGTATTGTATTGAAGTATTGAGAATAAATATGTTGGGAACGACCGTTATTTGAAAAATTCAATAGCAGAGTTTGATTTGTTGCCAGTGAGTTCAGAGAACACTTATTTTGGTAAAGATGGAGTCGTTGCAAGGTATGATTATATCTTGCAAACGAAAAACATTGTATGGCGACGAGAGCTAGAAGAATTTGATAATCTGTCGTGCGACCATAAGGTTATTGCTAGCGAGTTTCAGCTAGTAGATATCGAAATAAAACAAGCACCTTTCGGCGAACACAAGGACCTTGACTGGCAAGACTTTAAAAATGTAATATATGCCACATTTGCAAAATTTTAATTGTTTTTTAATCCCAATTTGATGAATAAAGTTATCGGCGACAGTTGTGATTCGCAATTTGAATTTCTAATAAAAATAAATCATTTCTATTAAATTTGGAGATACCGGCGAAGCCCTTTCTTTAGAAAAGCGATAGATTGCGAACCTGGCGACAGTTGGAATCGAATGAATTTAACATAAAACCATTAGATAGACCAGTTAATATAAGTCATGACTCATGACATTGTATGTTATTGTAGAAAAAACTCATTTTTTGACTTGATTTTTCAACTGATGAAGATGAAATGTTTTAATGGTTTATGAATTCATCAATCATGAGTTCTTGATTAATATACACGATTAAAAATGTTTAAAGTGTTTGATTTTTCAATTTTAAACATGAAAAACAGGTTCATCAAAATTCTGTATCTTGCCTGTGACAGAGCAGGCAAGATACAGATACATCTTTTGTATCTTGCCTGTGACAGAACAGGCAAGATACAGAGTTTTTGATGAACCTGTTTTTTATGTTTAATTAAAGATCATATGAGCGAATTATATGCTAATCAATTCACAATAATATTTATTTCAATTGATTTACACAATTAAAGTGTAAAATAAAGCATCAGAACCATAAAAAAATACATTTTTTTTTATTTTTGTAGATATCTTATGAATCTATGCAAAGTGACTTCACCATTTGAATTAATGATTGCAACCCAGCAAGGAACAAGTTTTATTTAGATTGATCCATCTTCTTCTTCATTCTCAATTTCAATTTATTCGATATCTAATGCACAGGCATTTAAGCCATCTTTACCTAATTGTATTACATTACGTGAAATAAGCTCGGCAAAATGTTTTGTTGGTCCAAGTTTGGTTAAATGCTGTTGACAAAATTCAGTTTTCCTTTTATGGTAAGTTTTCATTGCTCTTATTTCAGTTTTCTGGTTCACTTTCTCTGCACTTCGTTACCTGTATTTCCAGCCTAACTTTTTTGATCTACATTTCAAATCATTTATCGTCTTTTTGGGTTCGACTCTGCTGCCAACAGGATGATAGTCCTTCAACTCAATTGTAAAAACATGTTTTGTTTCTGGTTCAATTGTTCGATTAATTTGATCAGGTTTTATTATAATTGATTTAACTTAATTGATATTTGATTCAATATTGCTTTTCATTGAAAACTGAATTATTTGACCTTTCGAATGAAGAATAGTAATGAATAAGTTTCCTCTTTTTGTTGAATTCATTTGCTAGGAATTTTGCTTTCTCATCATTAAGTTTTGCTTTACAGTAAGCATCACTACCCCAATCATCTTCGACACTTCCTTTTGAATTCACTTGATGCTCATTAAATTCATAATTTCTGGTTGTTTCAATGCTCTTATTTTGTTACTGACTTTGTTTGCTTAATGTTATTCTAGGAAATTTTTGTTGTTGTTTTATTGGTATAACATAAGATGGTATTGCTGCTTCACTATCAACTTTGTACTCAATTTTTTCTGTTTGTTTGCATTGATTCTTAGGTTTTTGACTCGCTAGATCG